CATGAATCACGTAACTTGAAAACGATAGTCGTTCAAACGATACTGACAAAACGATCTCGTAAAAACACTGATACATATATGCATTTGTGTTGCTGTTACTTATCAAGGGCCGGTTGTTCAATGTGTGGTTATCATAACCACTACACTATCGACGATTTCGACATCATGCATGTAACATGTGAACGATAAAGCAGTCGTTGTACTTAATCGGAGCTTCTACCTCCGATTTGTGCTAATCAGACATTGAACAACCGGCCCTAAGGCCCGTTTGTATACAACTTTGGCGTTGCGTTGGCGTTGGCCTCGCTTCGACAGCTGACTATGAATACATGGATTTATAGGTTTTTTCCCTAACAATCCGGACAGGATCCGGTAATTAGAGAATAAGCGAAAAGTTTGCTCTCAAAAATGGAACAAAATCCAGAAGTACGGGAACGCAAAAAACCACATTTCGTGCCCAGAATTTGTGAAACAGCTAGTGATGTGCTGAATTTTCGGTACCCAATACTTCCTTTTCGGTACCCGATGCCGATTCTTTACATTAAACCTTCGCCATTATATGCATTTCAAGTTTAGAAAAAACTTTAATTACTAATTTATATGATATCGGCTAAAACACTTGAACTTATCGCAACAGAGAAATATTATTTTATCAGTTTTAATCTTAGTTGATCCAAGGTACAAGAAAAATGCTTTTACGGATGAAGAAGCCTTTCAGGGGGTGGATTCTGTAACCAGTTAGCGACAAGTTTCGGATCGATATCGCACTTGTTGACGTATAAATATTTCATATCATACGTCAACAAAACCGATGCCGATTCGAAAATTGTCCCTAACTGGTTACAGAATCTGTGCCCAGGCCTACAAAAATGATATCGTCAGATTCAGCTGGAACAAAAATGCTTCAAATAAGTAAGAGTTTCTCTGCATTATGGCCTTGAACCGACACATATACATCTTTCATTTGAATCTGTATTAAAAACTCTATTGGCTCCTACATTCGGGTTTTTATAGGCGAGTCTCCCCTGAACTGTTTTTCCATATTTTTGCGCTTTTATTCGAAACCTAAATGTTTCGGTACCCAGTATCGAGAGTAGAGAACCTTATATGAAAGTCTCCACATAACCAAAGTTGGGCAACGCCAACGCCAACACAACGCAGAAAGATAGCCAACTCTCAACTATTCGCGCGCGTCGTTCGTCAGCTGTTGCAAATAATCAAAATTACGTGATTTAATTTTCATTTTTAATCAAATGCGGACAAGAAATATAGTTTTTAATGCAATTATTGATGTAAAATTTTGATTTATCTGCCGCTAGTATGTTAATTTAGTGACCAAAGTATTCTCTGCTACTCGTTCATTGTAGAAAGCACGGGCGTTACTCGCGCTGCTGTCAAAGCGACGCCAGCGCCGACGCAACGCCAAAGCTGTATGTGGACGGGCCTTTACTGTTACTGTTACATGAAGCAAAACTTGAATCGAGTTGAAAATATCGCACAAACGATCAAAATATTTTTAGTTTTCATGAAGCAACACAATCTCGACACGATATCGTTCAGACGATTGTCCTCATACGTGATTCCAGCCCTGGATTTATTATAGACAAATACAGCGACTCAAAAAACCCCTTGGTGATTTTTCTTTCATTCACAATGTTGTTCAATTATTTTTTTCTTTTGCTATAGACAAATACACTGATCAAAAACCCCTTTTTTGTTTTTTTTTTTAATTCATAATGTTGTTCAAGTAATTTTTTTTGCTATTTATGTTTGTGTAAGAATATTATTTGCGATTAAACCAAACCCATAAATATCAAGGATTCAAACTATATAAAGAAAAATTACAAAAATTTTCGTCTAAATTTCGATTTTTTTAATCAGAATTTTTTGGTACGCAGTTTTATAGTCGATGGAAGTTTAGTATAACAAACAATGTAGAAAGAAATTTATAATATAAAGATAACCACGAGAAATAAAGCGGGAACGAAAAGTTTTATTTGTTTTTCAAACAAAATACTTTAACAAAAATCTACTATTAAACGAACAAAAATTTACCTTTTTACCAATCCAAATTTTTTTAACCCAATTTTGGTAATAATTTACGAAAGTGGCAACCCTGGTTAGGATGGCTATTTATCTCTACAAGCTTCCTCGACGTTCCCAGTGCGAACTAGCGCATATTTACGCGGGTTGCAATTCTACCAACTTTAGAGAACAACTCCACAACAAGCCGCTCAGGCGCTTAGCGCTTTTCAGGCTTTCAACGCTCTATGCAGCTATTAGTTTAATATTAGAGCTCGAGCGCCTCAAGATGCCACGCTTGAAACACCTGCCATGGGGGTTCAGTTATTATGCGAACGATGTACAAACACGCCCCAAACGATGCGCGTAAACAGTTCATAAAAGGTCAGCTTTGTAAAAATCAGGACATTAAGCGGGGAAAAAAAAATCAGTCAGGACTCTTTAATTCGACCCTGAAATCAGGACATGTCCTACGCCAATAAACACCAAAAAAATATTTATCCAACCATGGGGAAATTCATAGTTCTCAAGTTGATATCCAACATCATTCTCCAACTCATCTCTAACTAACGCGCAGATACGTAAAAAGTGATAGAGAAACGAATTTTTAATTATCAAGTGCAAAACGAAAGCTATATAAAGCGGAAAATTACCAACAAAAAGTAAATAATCTTCAAAGTATCTCCAAATAATCTTGCAAGAAAATAAAACGCGACGTGAATCAAGTGGCAAAATTACTGTCGGACTGTATACTGTGAAGTGAATTATTGAAATACGATATTGAGTAATAAAATGAAAAATTAATATTTAAATTCATCTAACGTATAAGGAATTTTACTATTTCAATTTAATTATTTCAATGATATATTTGAGACTAATTGGAGCATTACATTGGAGTCCAAGTTGAGAACTAGCATTTTCTCAACTTGAGAAACAGTCCTTTTTTCATACAAAGAAAAATGCCCTTTTTGTTGAGAACGCTATGATCCTCCACTTGAGGTATTGTTGAGAAACAACGTTGGAGATTTGAGAAATACCTTAGTTCTCAACTTAACCTCAAGTTGAGCTTAAACCTAAATGTTTGTTGAGACCCTATTAAATAGTAAACTTGGAATATCTCAAAAAATTCTGAATTAGAAGTTGATTGTTGTTACAACTTTCTGAATATTTATAATTTTTGTGGTAGGTAATACATACATATATGTGACCTGGTCTACGAAAAGGGAGCTTACGTGCGAAAACTAGTTTTCTGTGAAAAAGCTGTTAAAAGTAAGCAACTCGTTTCGTCAGTTTCTCATTGGCCCGTAGTCATAGTCAAAATAAAGTCGACTTTAAAGTTAGTTGCAGCTTTTTTGACAGATATCCCATTGAAAATTATGTCAAAAAGCTGCAACTAACTTTAAAGTCGACTTTATTTTGACTATGACTACGGGCCATTATCTCGTTAATTGTTCTCCGCGCCGGACGTCCAGTAAGTGTTGTTGTTGGTCCAGTAATTGTTGTTGTTGGTCCAGTAAGTGTTGTTGTTGGTCGGAATATTATTATAGTTCATCGTGTAAGTTGCTAGTGTGGAACATTTAAAAAAGTAACACTGAAGAAGTGACGTTTACTGTTTCTGTTGATTATCGTCTTCGCATTTCGCATAAAATGAAACATGAGTGTTGATGAGGAGTTCAGTGCCGTATACGGACAATATTTCCATGAAAAGGATGATGAAAACGATGATGAAAACTATGAAGAGAGCGATGATGATGAAGACGAAATATGTGTATCTCAGGCAGAAGATGATACCGAACAAACTTTTGTTAAGATGGACCTGTATGTTGTTGATGTAGGAAAACGACAACAAAGAAAAATACATAAACTACTCAGCATTATTATTTTTGGCCCATAATACGTTTTTCTAGTGTATAATCATGTCTTTATAGCTTATAATTCAATGTATTTTGTTCATTACCAATAAATTATATTTTGTCGTATTTTTACTCTTCTTTCGCTACATTTTTAGTACACTTCTAAGCAAGTTAGGATTTTCTGCTTTTCACCACATGAAAAAGCATCTCATATTCCATCCGAATCAACCAAAAAGTGAAAATTGATTTTTTGACACCTAAGCCCCCTTTCCGTAGACCAGGTCACATATAGTGTTTGTTAAATTATGAGCTACGCTTTTATGTAAAATCAAATCAAAAAATTAAACAATTAAAAGAATAGGCAAAACTGGTCAAAATGTCTTACCGCCATTATTTCGCATATAGGTACATATTGATATGTACGTGCATATGTATGTGTAAACATGTCAGAATGGATATATTGCGGTGTATTTCCCCTTCGTAATTGGAATATGTACCGTGTTATCTACTATGAATTTGTGTATATACAGATTTATGTCTACTGTAATAATTTAGTGAACTAATAATTATTATATTACTGCAGTGTATTTTAAAAATACTATTTCTAACAAGTAAGAAAGTCTAAGTTCGGGCGGAGCCGAACATTAAATACCCGGCGCAAGTATTCAATATATGTTTTTTCACCTTTCCGAAACCTTCCGCTAGATGGTAAGCCGGGGTGTATCAATTTTGAGTAAATTAGCGTCCTTCAATTTCGAAATATTGAAGTTTCAAGCATTTCTGAAATTTACCGTTATATGAGAAGCGGCCGTTATTTTAGTCCGATTTCAATAATTTTCAACGTTTTGCTTATATGTGGCAAGCACAATAACCACACCGAGTTTGGTACAAATTGGTAGAACGGTTACCGATATACTTATATGTGATCATAAGTGGGCGGTGCCACGCCCATTTTCCAAAATTTTACCATAAACGTATTTCTTGGTAAAGAATTGTTGCAAGCATCAATTTTGAATAAATTAGCTTCAATATTTACTGATTTATCGAAGATTTTGTATTTCTCTAAATTACCGTTATATGGGATGTGGGCGTGGTTATTGTCCGATTTTAAAAAGTTTCGGCAATTTTTTATGCTGTGCCAAGGCCAACAACTGTGCCAAGTTTGGAAGAAATTGGTGCAGCGGTTACCAAGATATACACATGTAACCATAAGTGGGCGTGGCTACGCCCATTTTCCAAAAATTTATAATATTCTTATTTTTCGTCTAAAAATTATTGTAAATATCAATTTTGAGTGAATTATCTTCAGTAGTTACTAAAATATCGCAGTTTTCGTATTTCTGGAAATTACCGTTATATGGGAAGTGGGCGTGGTTAAAGTCCGATTTCGCCCATTTTCAATACCAACCTACCTTGGATTAAGGGAAACCTACATACCAAATTTCGTTGAGATATCTCAATTTTTGCTCGAGTTATCGTGTACACGGACAGACGGACAGACGGACAGACGGACAGACGGACGGACAGACAGACATGGCTTAATCGATTTCTTTTTTCATCCTGATCATTTATGTATACATTTGTCTATATCTATCTCGATTCGTTTTGGCTGTTACAAACAACCGTTATGTGAACAAAATTAATATACCCTTGTGCACAAGTGCGCTCGGGTATAAAAATATATTGTTCTTAAAAGGCATTAAAAGAAAGCAATTTTAATTTTGTGACCATTAGGCACATTCTGAAATTCCATTCCTGGTTCAAAGTCAAACTACCACCGTTAAATCAACCACCAGAACCGTTGCGGTTCTTGCTTTACGGCGAATAAACATAACAAAGACCATTCTTGATAAATTCCTGCAAATAAAATAGTAAGATATTTACAATTGAGGGGTTCACAGCGGTGTCGTAACTGTCGTATTGTTGTATGTCGTAAACTTTAAAAGCTTAAATAAATGTTTAGAGAACTTGAAACCACAACCAACTATTTTTCAACACTGCGAAAATACATAATATGACTTTTATGGTACACTGCCAACCCCCTTAGTATACTTTTTATACGTTTAAAGTTTACGACATACAACAATACGACACTTACGACACCGTTGTGAATACCCCAAATATTTCGTCAGAAATAAGTCTATGTATATTAGATTCCTGTGGACCAATGATACTCACCCATTTTGAAATTGCCACCAACTGTACAATACAGATTCAAGGGCGATTCCCCATCGAACCGGACCATTGTTGCCGCAAGAACTTCTTCACGGACATAACGGTTTCATTAGGTTATTTAATAGCGTTTTTTTCTCGCAAAAAAATTCAGCCTTGTATATGGCAACACTATCAGAGTGAAACATTTTAAAGAGCGAGCACGCAATACGCATATGAAGATGCTGAAAAAAAAAGAATACGAAAACTTGACAGTCCTAGCGCAGGGCAGAATAAATGCAACATTATTTCTAGCAAAGAAAACGCCATAAGACGGTAATGGAGGATATGTCTTCTGACGACCACAAAACCAAACGTGAACGTCAATTGTTGGCGATAACGTTGGGCCAAATGTTTCAATAAAAATTAATTTTGGGCGAGACGAAGTTCCCCTGCAGGGAAACCGTGAACTGAAGAATAAAATTTCTAGTTCGTACTAGATCTTTATTGCCAAAACGAACCAGTCCGGTAGTAACTAAATCTCCACCAGTCCAAAATCGGCGAATTGTGTTACTTTTAGAACACTATTTTTTTCACTTTATCATTATAAATCAATGTCTTAGGTAACGAATTTAGAACTGGTTCGGAACTATAGAAAAAGGGACGCAGAACGAACTAGATCTAATATGTCGAATTAAGACCTAGTTCGGAACTATCGAAAAAGGCATGCAGCGGGGGATTGCTTTACTTTACATAGATATTTGTTAAGCGGCTTTTTCGTTCAAATACGCTTTCATTGGCACTTCGCAGGTGCTTCTTCATTTATTTGTTAATACAAAATAAAAATTTTTGTTGAAATTTAAACATTTTGGGATTGTCTGGAATCTAACCAATAACAGCGAGCACCTCTGAAAACTCAGCTTCAGCCAAAGGTATGTAAACTTACATTTCTTTCAGACATTCAAAAAAAAATCACTTTCAAATTGAAAACACATTTCTTATAAAATAATTTAAAATCGAATACATGGAAAACCCAAAGAGATTGAAAAAAACATAATACTTTCTACGTCTGTAGATTTTGGAACTGGTTCGGAACTATAGAATTTAGGACTAGTTCGGAACTATCGGAAAAGGGATGCATCGGGGGCAATTGACACGTCCTAGAACATCGCAATGTTAAATTCGCCAGTTGCAAGCATATAAAAGATAATTAACGAGCACTAGTCATGGTTCGAGATTCTCTAGTACGGAGCCAGTTCGGCACTAGTGCGTTTCCTGACAGGGTATATATATTTCATTATTGATTTTTCTAATTTAAATGTAAATATGTCTATCTATATCAATAAATGTGTAACAATGGGCAAGTTCAGAAGGCGCAACAGTTGATCGCAACTGTTGTTAAAAAATCAGTAGTCAGTGGGCGAAATGTTATGCCCCTTCTGAACGTACTGATACATTAGCTGTCAAATTTTTTGTAAATTCAAAAGCTGTCAACCACAAACGATCATAAACAAATTATTGTATTAAAAAAATTGTGTTTTGTATAATAAGAAAAATGGAACAAGCAATTAAACTGTCGGAATTCCTTGAGGATAACATTGAAAACGTCCTTGAATCAGTTTTTCATTGTTTGGCAAGCGAAATTACCAATCAATTGGGGTGTTCACAGTTCGTTCCAAATTGTGTCTGAAAATGTAGACGTCTACATTTTGAGACATATTTAGCATCAAACTGTGAGCACCCCTTTCTAGCAGTCGTCGCAAAATCGTCTCAAAACTTTGCTGGTGTTGCCAGACATTTCTTCTTTTCGTGCATTTTTTATATGTCGCCTTTCGATTTTGTTTCTGAAAAATTGTAATTATTTAACTTAATTACCAATTCCTAATATTTGTTATTTCTTTTCCTTGATTTGTTTCTTTTCATCAGAAATTGCGCTCAAATTAAATGCAAATACACAAAACGTGCCCAATAAATAAAAAAATGTGATTAATACTGCCATAATGCAACCCTGCTGCGAGGTTGCAAAATGTAGACGCGTAAAAAACATACCTTTGAGTGTGACAAAATGTAGACGGCGTCGTTTTCCAATTTCGTATGGGAAACAACAACACCACAGATTTTACGGTTAGAAAACATCTTAAAATGTAGACGTCTACATTTTGAGACACTATTTGGAACGAACTGTGAACACCCCAAATCTGTAACAACTTCGGCAAATTCCATAGCAGATCGCGAGGAAAGACCCAGAAATGAAGGTTATTATGAGGTCACAATTGAGCGGGACAATAACGACTTGTTTAAGGAGCACTTTAGAATGTCTCGTAGAACGTTTGAGGGGAGTTTTACGAAATTGTTCAATTCGAGATTTATTCTGGATTCTGATTATTCTGCAGGATTTAGTGCTTCTTTTAAGACAACTTAGCTTAAGTGACTTTAGAATGTTTTATTTTTAATTAAAAAATAAAAGACTACCCTTGAAAAATTTTATATTTTTATTAAGCTCCTATTAAAAGGTCATCTTAAACTACACCTGTGGCTAGTTAATCGTTAAAATATTGCTCGGGAGCCCAATGAAAAATTACTTTAAAGAAAAAAATTACCAACCTAGACTTAGGCTACTTTAATTGACGGACACAGACATGTATATAAAATATGCATTCATATGTATATGTGCCCATAATTTTGAAAGTAGACTAATTCACATCGCACCTTTTGTGCTTAAATAACCGGTTACTTGTAACCGAATGCATCTGTAAAACATTCTATCGACATAAACTAATGACAGAAACTTTAACCTTTGCTTAATAAAGTTGATCGTATGACCGGTACAGGTAAATTATCATTTAAGCCCAAAAGGTGTGATGTGACCTAGGCCACTTTCAAAATTATGGGCACATATACATTCAATGTAAATCTAATACATTTTTCCACTGACCTGTACTATTTTTATTGTTGTTATCTTTTATAGTTTTATAGATCCTCTTCATGTTTCGCATTTTACGGTCCAGCGTGTCATCATCTTCAACAAGAAAGCCCGCCGTCCTCATGTCAGCGAGAATATCTATCCATAAATTTTTTTTTTATATTTTTGGCTCACGTAACTTATCTTTCCTTTTTCTGTATTCCTCTATGAAAAATCTCGTAGCTTCTCCATGCCACTTGAATTTGGAGTGCCCTGGTGAACCTACAATTAAAAATCATATCAAATCACTTACCGCATTCAAATAAACATTGCAACATCCCACTTTCAGATGTGATATTCATATCTGGAGCAACTCCAACCAATTCTGGTGGTGCAACACATCCCTTCGTATACTCCTTCAAAAAACTTGTATCTGAGGATAAAGTCGGATATATCAAAACAATCAACTGCAACTTAAGCAACGAATTTACCAGTTTGAAGCCTTATGTGGACTTCCTGACTTGCGGTTACACGATAGATGCAGTCATCGATCGACTCTGCAGTATTCGATAAAATCACAAGTTTAATTAAAATTTCATTATTTGAAACAAAAAACCGTTTAATGGAAAAGCCAAATGTCAAACTGTCAAAGGCACTCATATGATGTTTTCTGAAATGATCAGATATAAAATACGAAGGAAAAAAGGGCATCAAAAACTCAACTGTTAAGTTGATTAGAAGTACATAATAACGCGTTCAGAAGATGCAATCCCAACAGTTACTGCGCTGTTGCGCCTTCTGAACGTGCCCAATAGCTGCATTTTTTGTAAACGAGCGAAAAAGAACCCTGAACTCTGAAAAAAATTCCTCTTAGCTACTTGAGCAAACCTGTTGGTATATGGCAAGAAACATGTGATTAGTTTAACAGAGTTTAGATACCAAAAACCAATGGAAATGAATAATTATGCGAGGTATTTGCGTAATATATGTATATGGGGCATTCGCCAATTTGAAAAAAATTACACATACGCACATTAAAATTCTCTATGAAAAGAAATATTTTTTGAATTTTTTTCTCGAAAAATTTTACCCTTACAAATTTTTTGATAAATAAAAATTAGTTTTTGAAAATACGCCATCTCAAAAAAAAAGCACAATGGTAGCTCTGAGTATTGCGCAACATTTAATTATAGTATTACGGGGTGCACTCTACAATAATTTGAGTTATGAATTTTTTTTTACACCGAAGTTGAGTAAAATACGTACATTACAAATTTACAAATTTTTCAAATTCTTTAGATTTTTTTTGAGTACGCAGTTTTGTAGCCCATTAAATTTTAGTATAACAGAGTGCAAGTTTTAAGCTTTTGCAAAACTGGCGTTAATTTTTTTTTATATTCTTTGAAAACTGTTTTGCGCATTTTCTTCCTTAAGAAAAAAGAGCAAAAAGCCATCAGCATAAAAAATATTAAAAATCAACGCATTTTTGCAGTAGCTTAAAACTTGCTTTTATTATACAAAAATTAAATGAGCTACAAAACTGCATACTCAGAAAATTCTAAAAAAAAATTGAAAAGTTGTGGATTTTTAATATACTCATTTTACTCAACTTCGGTGTAAAAAAAAAAATCATAACTCATATTATTATACATATTATTATAACTCATATATTATACAGTAGCTTTTCTCTTTGATTTGATTCGCAGCACTTTTATTTGTACACGTAAAACTATAAACGTTTCATTTGTTTTTACGCCAAACTTGATACAAAATTACCTTTAAAATAAATGTATTTACGCGTATCAAATTGTGATTGTTTTTATTTAATTTGCTCTCTTTATTTGAAAGTTTGTTTTTCGATTGCCAGATGAATAACCTTTATACAAAAAATTATATTTGTGTGGCATATTTGTGGGGAATTTATTAAAAAATGGAATGGCAGCATGATTCTCTCACGGCTCTCTTTGCACTTAGAAATTTAACTTAGAAATCAAAAATCCATGATACAAAAAAGAAGGTAGTTTTAATAAACCACTTTTGACGGATAATATAATTTTCTGAAGTTTCATAAATTGTGAGTATTCTCAACGGCCTTGCCACTTTGATAACATTAAAACAATAAATCGGAGTATTTTCCTTCCCATATTTATATCAATGTACCTAATAATATTTCAAATCAAAAATCATTATTAGTGCTTGGTATTTTTTTTTTACTTACGTGGTTCGCATTTTTTTGTTAAAGGTTTAAATATCTTATTTTATTATAAAAACCACGCTCGCATTGTGCTGTTATTTTTTCATTTTCTTATTTTCAACGCAATCTTGCTATTTAATAATCTAATTCTAAAGAATGTTCTTCCCAAATAAAACCTTATTATATTTAAGTCCAAATTTACTTTGGGCTTTGTGGTGAGTGTATTACTATTAACTTTCATCACTTTCTTCATGCGCTCTGAAACCTCGTTCCATCAACCCCATTTTCGAAATTATTTACTCGGCATAATTTTCAAGCCCATCATATTCCACATCTTTGAATGGACTGATAAAATCTTCCGCTTAAAAAAAAATATTTGTTCTAGTGACCCGGTAGCATGAATTTGATGAAATGTCATAATTTTATTAAAAGTGAAATGGTTAGCAAGAACAACGAATGTCATTAAATGGAACTACTCTACTCATGATACAAAAAAGAAGGTAGTTTTAATAAACAACTTTTGACGGATAATAAAATTTTCTGAAGTTTCATAAATTGTGAGTATTCTCAACGGCCTTGCCACTTTGATAATATGAAAATAATAAATCGGAGTATTTTCTTTCCCACATTTATACCAATTTAATAATACTTCAAATGAAAAATCATTATCAGTGCTTGGTAATTTTTTTACTTACGTGGTTCGCACCTTTTTTATTAAAAATATATAAAATATGTAATGTTAAAGGAGACTTCATTGAAATTGTTCACGAGAGCATTATGTTGTTATTTTTTCATTTTCTTATTTTGTATGCAATCTCCCAATTTAAAAATCTAATTCTAAAGAATTCTCTTTCCAAATAAATCATTTTATAATCGCCAATTCCATGTAAATAAATTGTTCTGATAAGTTAACATGCAAAACAAAAACAAATTGGGAAAAATTATTTTTGTTTTACTTTATAATTTTGGGAATATTTGTTCCCATGAAATTCGTGAAAATTTACTTTAAATTTCTCATCAGATTTTGCAAAAAAATTAGGCTTTGTGATTAGCGTATCACCATTAACTTCAACAAATACTTTCTTTTTTGTATCATGCAAAAATCTATAGGTCTTCAAGTTCCTAAGTGAAGTTGGTTTTTTGGGTAGCTACACACGCGCGCTGCTCATTTGCCAGATATACAATTTTCAAGTCAAGTGTCTTGAATAACCGAGCTTTTAAATACATTTATTTCAAAGTAATTTTTATTCAATTTTACCCCAAACAAATTAAACGTTAAATGTTTTGCATGTACAAGTACATATGCTGAAGATAAAAAAGAGAAAAAGCAGTAGATGACATGGAGAAAAATCGTTTCGTTTTGCTCTCATTGAGCAGGCGGGACTGCAGACAACTTGATGGACTGCTGACTGGCCACTTCACGTGGCACAAACACCTGACTGTGATAGGCGTACATGACAACTCCATTTGACCATCCAGCCTTGAAGAGGATGAGACGGTGGAACACTTTTTGTGTTTCTGCCCTGCCTTTGCAAGAATTAGGTATAAGACATTTGGCCGCGATGTGTTGAAAGACGAACACCTGAGCTCTTTGACACAACAATCTGAATCTGAACAAATTGTTGGCTGTATGAAATTGTAATTATATTTGAGAACACGCGAATAAAAATGTGAAAAATTTATACAAAATTCCATGCTATTTATGCCACAAGGATTTTACTTCATCGCATCAAGACAAGAAACGATTGGCCAAGGATGCCTATCCTTTCATAAAAAATTATGAAATATTTAATAGCCACATTAAGTGGTCTAAATATTTGCTTAAAAGCAGAAACGTAAGCCGAATGAGTTTCATCACCAGAAATATATATTTCATATCCACTTTATTTAGTAGATTTTAGATTTTAGTATTTCTCTTTCTAAATTTAGCTTTGGTCAGGTAAAACACACTATTAAATAAACAATAAATATATAAATTTGTCTTGCAAATTTGTTACGTGTCTACACAGTAGCGTGGGCCGAAAATCCGCTTTTTTAGAATTTTGATTGGTAATAGCGAAAATATGGTTCATTTATGCTCTAAAAAAATCTCTGTGAAATTTGAAAATCTTTGGCACAAGTCCATCAAAGTTCACTGTTCTCAAAAAATTTGGTTTTCAGCTTACTTCGATCGCAAATTTAATTCTCTACATATAAAATTATATAGGACTAATACTTTCGAAGATATTTGCACTTTTATTTAAACAATTTATTAATTTATAAATTTTTAATTTTTATTTATGGATGAAAAATAATTTATTATTTACTAACTACATAAGAAATTAAATTCCTGACAAAAAAGTGCCTTTTTGTGAAGAAAACACACTTACTTTATGCTTTTTTATTAAATTTTTGATAAAATCAAATTGCATGTATTTTTATGTAAACTTTAATATTTTGGTAATGAAAAGTTGTTCTAGTATCAGCATCATGTAATTTACTTACTGAACATGTGCTATTGAGGCGTCTTTCGAACAAAAATTAAAACCGCAAGGATATTATAAGATATTTATTATAAGGAAGTGATTTAAAGAGAAAAAATTAATGCAGGAATACCAAAATTACATCGTTTTAAATTTTTTATACAAATTGTTACAGAATTTTTTCGCCGACATTCTTTTTTTTTTGTTTTTTATTCTCTTATGTAATTACGGTACTTAATGATATCTTCATTACATGGGAGTTGACCCTCTGGTAATTTTTTTGACTCCTCAATTAAAAGACAGATTGACATTCTAAGGGCCGATTTCACAGTGCGTAGTTAACTCAGAAACGGCAGTTAACTAGAGATTTTCAGTACAAAAATCTGTAGTTAACTGCCGATTCTGAGTTAACTACGCACGGTGAAATTGGCCCTAACAGAGTGCTCCGTTCTACTATAAATAAAATGATTATGAAAAATATATTACATAAAGCACAAGTATACTTACTTACTCAGGAACTAAAAGCCTGGTTGAAACTCTCAAGAAAAACAAAAAAAAATCGTATAAAATTACGCACATGAAATGTAAAAGAAATGATTTTTTAAAGAAAATTTGCAACCAAAGCAAAACACTTTTTCAAGCAACAGAAATAACGAAAATTTTTTTGTGATTGTTCCTGGGAGCTACAAACAACCCTTTAGTTCCTAAGTATATTTGTGCTTTATAGAATATACATGAATGTGTGTGTTTTCTTCACAAAAAAGGGCTTTTTTGTCGGGAATTTAATTTTTTATATATTATATAGTAATTTATAAATTATTTCTCAACCGCAATAAAAATTAAAAACTACTTAATAAGTTTTTTAAATAAAAGTGCAGTTATCTTCGAAAGTATTATTCCTACATTATTTGATATAACGACCATTTTTTGTAGAGAATTAAATTTGCGATAGAAGTAAGCTAAGAACAAAATTTTTTGAGCACATTGAACTTTGATGGACTTGGGCGAGGATATTGACCAAAAATTTTCAAATTTCACAGAGATTTTTTTAGAGCATAATGAACCATATTTTTGCTATTACCAATCAAAATTCTAAACAAGTAAGAGCAGCGCTGTCTTCGACTATGCCGAAGGCTTCATACCTTTCATGCGCATCTGAAAATTTTACTTTAACAGATTACTGAATTTGAAAAAATTGGTATATTCACAGCAGGCATAGATCTCATATATATTCACAGCAGGCATAGTATCTCCTCTAAATATATAATAAATCATATCTAAACAATTAGAGTGATTTTCACTGCTGNTACATAAAGGAGATATATCGCAAAAACTGGTATCTGAACAATCAGTGGTATAAGAGATAAAGCTCATACAGCATACATTTTGACGATTTTCTCAGTAGACTTTGTATTATTGTTTATAAAATAGCTTAAGAAATTTATCAGTTTTAGCTGTCCAAATAAAGGAGTATTACAGTAAAACCCCACATCTGAACAATCAGTTGCATGAGCGCAATAAACAGGTTATAGTGATTCGATCTTTGTTAATTTTACTGTAAACTTTCTGTTGATAATGAGTGAAAATAAAGCGAAATTTTATGTTTTTAGCTGCATAAATGGCGGAATTATAACGAAAGTTCTCATAACTGAACAATCAGTTGTATGGGAGATATATGTTATAGTGACCCGATCTTTGTTGTTTTCACCGTAAGTATTCTGTTAATAATGATTAAAAATGGTGCGAATTTTTATGTTCTTAGCTGCGTAAATGAAGAAGTTATGGCAAAAAATCTCATATCTGAACAATCAGTTGTATGGTGGATATAGGTTATAGCGACCCGATCTTCGCCATTTTCACCGAAAGTATTCTTTTGAAAATGAGTGACCACAGTGCAAAATTTCATGTGCCTAGCTACTTAAATGGAGGAGTTATAACGAAAAATCTTATATCTGAACAATCAGTTGTATGAGAGCTATAGGTTATAGTAACTCGATCTTTGTAATTTTCACTCTAAATTTTCTGTTGATAATGGGTGGAAGTATTGAAAAATTTCATGTTCCTAGCTACATAAATGGAGAAGTTATAACGAAAAATCTCATATCTGAACAATCAGTTGTATGGGAGCTATATGTTATAGTGGTCCGATTCTTCCGGTTCCGACAAATGATTAATACATTATAAAAATACACCCACCTACCAAATTTGATCCGGATATCTCGAAAACTGAGAGACTAGATTGCATACAAACAGACAGACAGACGGACAGACGGACAGACGGACAGACGGACAGACGGACAGAGGGACATGGCTAAATCAACTCAGCTCGACGTTCTGATCATATAAGTATACATTTTAATGGGTCTATCTCTTTTTGTTCTGGTACTTACAAACATCGGACCAAAGTTATAATACCATTTCATGCTCATGAAAGGTATAAAAAGCGGATTTTCGGCCCACGCTACTACATAGCTAATAAGGAATTTTACTTCTAAACTGTAAGCCTTGAGAGGAAACATTTTTATATTTATATCAATGGTCAAATAAAGAGAAAAATTAAATTAAATAAATTAAAAATTAAATTAAATTAAATGTTTCAGTTTTTCTGCCCGTTATTGCGACAGGTATTTGTGAATGTTTATAGTGTGCTTATTACACTGTGAGCACCACATACATACAGTGGCGGTCAAAAATGGATGAATGGTGTTTCGTTTTTATACCCGAGCGCACTTGTGCACAAGGGTATATTAATTTTGTTCACATAACGGTTGTTTGTAACAGCCAAAACGAATCGAGATAGATATAGACAAATGTATACATAA